ATGTTGATATTTCAAGAACAAAGGCCCAGAAAACCTAACCATTGTAGATTTTTCTATTACTCACAAGTACTCATCAAATAAACATCGGCTTGGTCGAAAAGCGATTTCACACTTGGAAAAGTTCCTTCCAGAGATCAAAGATAAACCGAACTCGAACCAATAAAACTCGATTCGTTTTGGTCTCTGGTTCCGTCGTTCGTTCCATTACATTTTGCTTCACTGCATCATGTTTCGTAATATTTTCGAGCGGCATCTAAATAATACACATTCTTCATAGTAATAATGCTCTTATTGAATACCTTTATTACCAATTTTTTTGCATAATTTAAAGAACGAAATAGTCCTCTACAAAGTGAGCTAAAAACCAAAATTTCTTGCAACATCCATTTAGACATAATCGTGCTGATGTTCTAAGCTTGAAACCAAGACATCAATGTGTCTTGTAGTAAAAAGTCTTATTATTGATAGAAGCGATACTTCTACCTTGAATTGTCTTTTGGTATACTAAAACTTGTTCAAATTTTGTATGCTTTAAATTTTCTCCTGACTCTCATGATTGACCGACAAATGAGCAAACTTTTTTTTTTGTCTAGAATACTCATATGACATCAACACAAATTGATGATGCATATAATGATCTTGTTTCTTCTATTGATCGTGAATTTCGTCGATTAAAACAAGCACTTGTTGAACAAGAAATGAAAGCCGAACAAGAACGTTTAAAAACGATACAAGTAAAAGAATTTGACATTTCTATTTATAATGAAAAAAAAAACATGTCATATAATATTTAGGGTGAACTTGAAAGTGAAAAACATAAAAAAATTAATGAAGATAAACGTTCTGAACAAGAAAAAGAAGAATTTCGGCAGTAAAAAATTTTTAAAAAATTGCTTTTTTTTTGTTCGATTTCTTTATTTTTGTTAATTATAGACGTTCAGTTATTGCTCAACGACAAAGAGAAGAAGAACAATTGAAAGGTAAACTAACGGCTGAAGAATCTCGACGTCAAGTACGAAAAATAAAAAATATCTTCATTTATTAAATTATAATAATCGTTTGTCTTTTTTTTTGTGTTTTGTATTTTAGAAAGAACGTCAAGCACAAGAAGCTGCTGAAGAAGCTTTCTTAGAAGAAATGAATGAACGTGAACGTCGTGATTATGATTTAGCACGACGTCTTGCTTTAGAAACTGGTAGTGAAGCTGATTTACCACGTTTACTACGTTCACGTCGTCCTGCTGTTAATCAAAAATATGATTTAAGTAAACATAACTATGCACAATTACGTGATCTTATTAATACATCTTGTGGTAAAATTTTCAAGAAAGAAAAAAACTTCATTCGATTTATTTGTCAATTTTGTTAGATATTGAATTACTTGATGCATGTCGTGAAGAATTTCATCGACGTTTAAAAGTTTATCATGCATGGAAATTAAAAAATCGAAAAGAAAAAAATCCATCGGCTGTCAATGGTAAAGATGATGATATGGATCAAGAACGAGCACCAAATGATATTCTTAATAGTGGTAATATTTAAATCTATATTCAAAAATAATTCACATAAAATTGAATCCACTTAGCTATATTACACTGACATACATTGAGATATATAGGAGAAATCGTCACCTTGTTATTTAAACTTAAATTTAGTAAAGTTTCATATAGGAATTTGTAGTTTCATTTTACTGACACCTGACTTAATCTAGTTAGTACATAGTCATTACATAGATACCAATATTTTTTCATAAGTACTGAAATGCACGGCTACAAAAACGGCTCATTTTAATAGAGTTAGTATGTCAATGCGTCAATAAAAATCGATGCTAGCGTAATCTAGATTCCGACTCAAAAATGTTGAACCCAACAGACTCTAGTTGTCTGAGAAATGTGTAGGATGCCCTAATCATCAAATACAAAAAACCGCAAAGAGGTATTTCGTATCTTCGAAGCGACTATCCAGTTCTGATTAGAGAATTTCATTGAGAATATCAATTATACGACTCGATCGACTCCGAAAATTTTCGCCGCAGCAACCTCTAGTGTTATTAGTACTTCAGTCTCGGTTACCCTTTGTCAGTGTTTATACCAACATTGCACGGGTCTAGTTTCATATGTATATGTTTTTTTCTGGTATGAAATTTTGTATTCGAGTTTACTGGTCGTAGAGAAGTGCGTCATTTTTCATTATTTGTTAAAAACCTAATTGTTTGTTGTATTTTAATCACGTCACTTCCAGTAGCAGATGAAGCGATGAAGAAAGNATTACACACATATTAAATATTCGATTTTTGTAGAGATGTCAATTCTCTTCTATGAAGACGAACAAGATGAGGCAAAAGAAACTGAAGAACAGTTTCTTTTGGAGCCAACACAAACGAAAAACGGTAATCGGTATGTTATGGTGAATACTCGCCTTGATTATCAGCATCGCTCAAAACATCCAACTGAATTATGCCTATATGACTTTGTCAGTCATTTGCACAAGAAGGTGATTGACAAATCAGATCGCCATGTACTAAAGAATGCCAATGGGTATGAAGGCGAACGACTACATACGGAAGGTACAAAAATGAATGAACGACACACCTTTGAAAGTGTACATCCACAATTATCATCACATATAATCATTAATCGAATAGTGAAAACAGCCAAGCACATAAATTCGAATGCTTCTTTTGGTGGTGTAAATGTCATTTTTTTGGAGACTGCCTGCAATATTCTCCAGTGTTGGATACAGCAGTGTCCAAGGACTGAGAAATAGGAATTCATAATCTGTCGAGGAATTGTCAGTGCCGCTGTGATAATTCCTAGAGGAAATGGGAATCGACCATTGGTTCCCTCACAATTCCACCATTTACGAAAGTTCCGATATTGCTTTTTCAAAAAGAATTTGTGCGCGGAACTATTGATTCTCACAATTTTGCAGGTGAAAATGAGTGTAAGAGCAAAAATGATCGTGAATATTCCGTGTTTGTACCTTTAGTATGCAAGGAATTGTAGGGGAACTGAGAAGGAATTCCTAATTCTCAGTCCTTGGACACCTCTCAAAAATCTTGGGTCAAATTTTGTCTCACTTAGTTTAATGAATGAACTCAGTTCACCTCCGGCGCTCTAATGAACGAACGAACGAAAATAACTCACTCAGCGTATGACCCTCCTTTCAGTAGAGGGAATAGTAGAGTGTCCTTCGGAAACACAGAATGGTATCAAATATCATGATCTTTTGTCATTGACTTTGTCGTAGGACAATGTGACATTGCAACTCGCGATTCTCTGAATTGTATCTTCATATGTCAATGATTGATCCAATTGAATCTTTTCGTGATTCACAAGCATCAAAAATATCTGAATCAGAATTTATTAAATACACATCATATAGTGAAACTTTTACAGAAAACATATATAAAGCAACTTTGGTATCATACCACCTATCATGGTAAGAAAGTATTTTTTAGTAAATTGACACTAAACATTTATTTCTACCTTTCCGACTCATGTATTTGACTTGGTCTAAAAGCATGACAATTACATTGAATTATTCAATGATCAATACGTCCTTATTTTTGTTAGTTTTATTGAATTGAGTTGTATTAGTAGCATCAATTGACTACATGTAGCATTACCTGAAAGTTTTAAAGCTTAAAGAAATAAACAGTGGATAGAAGATGACGACCCAATTTCAATGTGCTAATTAATTTTTAATCTGACAATATCATGATAAGAATGCTACAATACAAAAGAATGAAAATAATATGAATAACAAGACGATGAAATTATAAGTCAAAGCTATCTTGTTTTTTCTATTTTTGTAAGGGTATTGGTCTTTAGGTATGATACAATGCCGTAAAGATAAAAATATTTTATCCAAAAGTATGAAACAAGATATTCGAACACCTTCTAACGAGGAAACGTTTTCAACTGATCGATCGCTTTCTAATCAAAAGCTACTGAAGTATGGATTATCGACCATTGTTTCGAAGATACTTTGTTTCAAATTCCTGAATTTTTTATGAAAGATAATCTAGTTGAGTTTTCTATATGTGCAAACTTTTAGATCAAAATTTGAAAATATAAGTTTTCCGAAAACTTGAGCTGTCTAGATAATAGACATTACAAAAACTTGATATCTTAGTCAAGTATCAATAGGAATCCAAATTCTTTTAGAATTTTTATTAGAAAAATATTTAATATCTATAAGCAAAAAACCGTTCAAATTGAGTTAGCAACGAGTCACCATAGGTGTTGATATGTGATCACAAATTGTATATCAACAACGTCTCGTTATAAGATACGAATTACTTTCTTTTTGCATTCTTAGAGGATTGGGTAAAATGACGATCAAGAAATGTTTCGCAAAATAGATAGCATCAAACAATCTCTCTATGATTAGCAATAGTAACTATATCATGTTTCATGTTGTATTTCTCAAAAAGGAATCCAGCTAACAGCTTTTTTTTTAGAATTAAATATGAAGTTTTTTCATGTATTTTTGTAAATCTACAGACGTTCATATATTTTTATATAATATTATTGATTGCATTCAAACCAATGACTGTACAAAAGTCTTGAATGATCATACGATTGAATATGAGAATTCAAATCGACTGAAAAAAGCAATCTGTTCAACTATTAAATCGGTATTGTTAGATAATTAATAATGTCATTGAAAATATCAGTGATTATAGTGAATGGAATTAAATCATTATTAATTTTTGTTCGTTTTATTTATTTTTTGCTAGAAATGATAAAATATCATTTATTGAATATTTATAATAGCATATATCATTTTTTTTATGTATAAATTTAAACTTTCAAGTTAAAAATTGATCATTCTTTTGCTGAAATACTAATTTATAAAATATGCAATACAAAGAATTGTTAATAAACATCAATAAGTTATTAACTTTATTAAATGAACTTATGATTTTTCATATGTATTGTTCTCATTTAACTTTCTTTTCAAACTTTAAAGATTTAATAAATAACAATCATATTATTAGTCTCTAATAATTCGACTATCAGATGGCAAACCAATAGCCGTTGCTTTCAAAGTCACTGGTACAAAACTTCGTGATTGATTATATAAAGTATCTTGTTGTTGAGGAATATAACGATGTTTTATCTTATTTCGATTAATACGTTGTGGTAATAAATGTTTAGTCGTAGTTGTTATTGGTGGTTTATTTTCAGTAGATACTATTTCAGGTATAGTTGTACGTCGAACTGGATGACATCTTGATGTATTTGTATCTCGTATTGATAGACGCGTACTAGCTTCACTAATTGAACGACGATTACTGTCTGATCTAATTGATGGTGATGAAGGTGATGTTGGTAATTGAATAATAGGAAGAGAAGGTATTATTGTTTTTATTTGAGATTGTTCTTTAATTTTCATATTTGAATCTTGTGTTTCAACAAGACGAAAATGAAGATTATAATTAGAAAATCGAAACGATTTTTTTCCTGTTTCATCAATTGATTTTTCATATGTTCTATCAATATTTTGGACTGTTTCTTGAATATGTGATTTATATGGACGTGGAGTAATTGGGGGTAAGATTGTTGGTTGTTGTATAATTTCTTCATCATTTATATTCATCGTAGGTGATGGACTATTTTCTATTTCTTCATTTGATTGCAATAATGAATATTTATTATGTTCTTTAACACGTTTTAAATAAGTTTCATTAATAATATCCAGTCGTTTTTGAAGACGTTTACGTAAGTACCGTTTAATATTTGGTGTAACTTCATCATTTGTTATATCAATTAAATCAACAAGTTCCATCATGCCTTTTTCATATGCTAAATCTCGACATGAAAATGTTCGTTGTCGAATAGGATTTTTTTTACGAAAATGAAATTCATGAAGATCAGCTGCATATTTAACGTTAACTTCTAATTGATCAATAAGATATTCAGCTACTTCATTACGTTGTCGTCGAATAGCTGCCATAAGAAGAGATTCAGTAAACTAAATTAATTATGACAAAGTAAATTTAATTATTGATAAAACTAATGACCAATTTCTAGAGATACGATTTTCAACAAAATAAAAAGGAAGACTCAAAAAAATGATTCAAATATCATTTAAAAACAGTGACTAATTTTTATACATACAGAAACAATCTTTTTTATTTGTTTTGTAAAAGATTGTTAAAGGTTGTCTCCTTATTCTCTATGTAAAATTGATTAAAAAAAATTTTTAAAAATAATTTTTCCTAATCAAATTTATATGTATCTATAGAATAAATAAGAAATATATTCGTTTTTATATGAAAATTAGCCACTTTTCTACTGATATTTGAAATTCTATGTTTTGTCAAAGTTCATTTTGATTTTTCATTTAACAAATTCGCAAGCTACTTTTTTCTTGGTAAGTTGATGTGTTCTTTCCACCTAAGTAAAAAAAATGTTTCAGAAATTTTGAATTGCAAACACGTTATGTGACAATATTCGTAATGTAAAATTCTATGAATACTATATTTTTTTTTACTTCAAATACAAAATTTCTTTTTATAGTATATTACTGTTACAATGATTTTTCATTACTCTGAAGATACGTTTAAATAAAATTTCTTGCACAATAAAGTATTGATGCTTTGATGAGTTTCAAAATTCTTGTTTTCTTACGCGTGTCATATTAGGATCAGCATTCTTTTTTTCATTAAATAATCGTTCCAATCGTTCAATTGAACCATCTTCAGTTGCTTGAAAAAATTCCTATAATATTTATATATTCTTTCATTCATTATTTACATGTTTATATTTAACCTCCATTTGTTCCGGAGTAAGTGAACTTGTTTCTGGATCAATACCTGTTGACGAGCATTCATCTTCGTGCTTTAATTAATAGGTAGAAAGACAAAAAAAAAAAACTGAATTCATGCAAAATAGATTACATACAAATTTATCTGACTTGTATTCTTCTCTGATGGTAGTCGCTTTTCTTTTTTCTTTAACTAACATATTTCAAGTAATATTCATTGAAAACTTGCTTACTATCTTACCATTCATTGGAAATGTATAGGCACCCACTTAACTAACAATGAATGTCATTGGTTTGCTATACTTTTCATAAACGTATTGTTTGTCTCTCAGGCTATACTCTTGTATTCTCCTGGCCGTAATCGAACAAAGCAAATAATAGAAAAAAAATTGTTCTCGTTTATACATTTTACATCCTTTCTCTTTTACATTTTAAATATAAATTAACAAAGTAAAAAAAAAAGAAATTATTCCCGTAGGGTATACATAAAAAAAAGACTTTGAAATATGAGATTCTTTTTACCTTTCAAATGAAAAAACGTCATGCTCGTAGACGAATTTTGTAAGACAACTAATTTGCAATAGTAAATTTTACACTTTAATTTATAATCATATTCATCTATATTACTACTTAATTAAGTTATTCCACTTCTTAATTAACAAAAACAAAATATTTCATCACGTATTCAAAGTAAATAGGTAATATGAGAATCTTTATCGTGATTCAACGCTTAAAAATATACATATCAATCATTTTTTATTTTGTTCATTTTTCAATAATCATCAGCAAGGCTAATCTACAGTAGGAACCACCCGGTTAACCCCGAACCCGATGCACTTTAGTGGTCTGACAAATCAATAGGGTCTACCAATCATCGAATAGAAAAATCTCGAAAAAAAAGTATCTTGTGTCTTCGGGAACGACTATATATATCTGATTAGAAAATTTTATTGAGAGTATCAAATTACAGTTCGATCGGACTTTGCATGTACTCATATCCAAATTATAAATGAGATTTCAGAATAAGAACATGTTAGTTTTGCTAAAGGAAGTATTCCAATGGAATGTACCCTTGTTAGATATGTTCGAGACACTATGTGAGTATAATCATTACATTCAGCACAGTTGGAGTATTTTATATAAAGAACTCGATTGTATTGAATCTGCTGGATACTAACTAGCATCATTTTTGTTGTGGATGTTCACTGTATACAATAGTTTTGCTATGTTGAATGTGCATAGATGAGATTCGATTTCATGAAGATGAAATTTTACTTCGAATAAATAGCCTGCATGCTGATGGACTCGGTTTATATGAGTGCCATAAAATATTAGAAAAATCTAATAAAGAAAATTCAATAGTTCAGTATGAAACGTTGCTTGTAAATCACATTAAGTTTTTTGTTTATATTCAAACAAAACTTTTTTTTGTCAATAAATGAAAGATTCAAAGAGAAATATTGTTTTTATGTTGTTCGATAAGTCAAACTAATTGTATAGTGCTCTATGATGAGAACGAAAATTGAACACGAAGTAACTTTTTCAAAGTTAAGAATGTCAAACTAATCTCTGTCATTGTGAGTTTTAAAGTAACAAATGCTAATACAATGAGTTGAAAGATACAATATTGCAGAGTAATAAAAGGCACATTTCTCAATAGAACATATTCGCTTTACATTTATATGCTATCATAATATATGCAAAATACTTGAAGGCCTATTGCATATGACTGATTCGTTGCAAAAAGAAATAAAACAATATAATTTATCTCCACAGTGAAATGACTTTGTCCTAATTTAACCATACGAATGTCATAATTAGCACCTGTAGAAGTTATTTCAATGATTGATTCAACACTAATTCTACTGGATGAGTGTCAAAAGATGAAAGATTAATGAATCAAAATTCATTGCTATAGACGTCTGAAAATAGAGAATATTTATGGTTTCTTTCTTTTTTGTAATAAATTAAGATTATATAAATTTCACAAAGAAAAATAAAAAAAAAATAACTAATTTATGAGCAATCAAGTTCTTCATTGTCAGATACAGATAGTTGATAGCATTTAATTGGTTTACGACCATCACTTGATAAAGTGTTCTGTTTTTTCGATATTGGTATATTTTCTACATTATTATCGTTATCATCATTATCATCATCATATTCTAATGTTCGTTTTTTCCTTTGAATAGGTTTTGCATCTGGATCTTTATTCGTAACCGAATGTAATTTACGTCGTCGTTCTAGAAAATATCATTAATAAAATAAAACTAATCAAGAACTAATCCAATTATTTTTTTTTATGTACAGAAGCATCAAGGCTAAATAATCAAATCTTTTATGTTTCATATCTGCTCTTGTACGATCGTTTAAGAATAAAATGAAAACGTATGAAAAGACCATGCAGAATTCATACGACAAGACTTGATGTAAGTTTTGCAGAGATCACGATTTCGTCTGATCTGCACGATCTTATGTGCAAAGTTATTAACCTAGGCAAGTCTTTTTGCATAAAAATCATAGACTAAAAACAAAATGAACATTTCTTTAGAGACTATAGATGTGCGAAAAAAGTTCATCAAATACATCTAAATTAACATTAGTCGTAACTGTTGGAAAATCTCACCTAAATCAATAAAATATATCATCTAATTTTTTGAATATGGAAGTATAAAGTTTAGAAAAAGAGCTATCAAACTAATCTGCCTCAGAATAGATGTAGGTCACGCTAAAAATCACAAAGTGACCTGCAGGTCAAAATAGGTCGATTGATACTTTTGATCTTTTGAATATGTTCAATTCTCCAACTCTACATTAATCCATCATTCTAATTTTAGAACCACTTAATTTATTTCCATAAAGCTAAGTTAATAAGGGTATAGGAGTAAAAATTGGACCCCCCCCCCCCCCCCCCCCATCTTGCTCTCGTACAAACGTGACAGACGTTTTGGCAATGTTCTCTTCTTCTTCGCAGCACAGGTCATGACAGTTGTTGTTAGTATACGATCACAGATCGTATATCAATAATGTGTCTCGTTATAATATATGAATTAATTTCTTGTTGCATTTTTCAAATGATTAACTAAAATGATAGTAGAGAAATGTGTCCCAAAATAGATAGAATAAAACAATCTCTCTATGATTTCGCAATAATAGCTACATCGTATTTTACATGTTAACTATAAAATATTTTAATTTGGTTTTCGATATGAAAGATTATTTATGATATGCGAAACAAAATAATACTTGAACATATCTATTCATTTCAAAGAATTCATTGTACCTGTAACTGTAGATGTTGATGATTTCTTTTTATTAATTTGTTTTTCATTTTTCTTATTTGTAATTGCTGTCATATTTTTAGTACTATCAACAATATCAAGTAAAATTTGACATTTTTCATTTTTAATACATTCCGATCGTGGTCCTAATTTAATATAACAAATAGTTGCATATGATGTAAAGCGAAAATTTTCTTTTAAATATTGATCAATAATTAATTGTAAAATAAGTCTTTGTAAATCAAGTTTAGTCATTGTTTTTATTGATAATTTTTCAATTAATTTAATTGCTGTTATACGTTCTTTTTTATTATCACTTAAATAATTAATTATAATTAAAGCTTCTTCACGGCAATTTCGTTTTGTTATAGATATTGATGATCGTGTACATATATCACACATTTGATTACAATCATTTGATTGCCATACTTCATCAAAATATTTTGCTATTAATTTTCGACGACATTGAGATTCATTTAAACAATAAGATATCATAGAATAAAGATTTTTAAGACCATTGCCTGACTTATCTGAAAATGCCATTGGTGCTAAACGAAAAACATCAGCAAATCTTAAACGAAAATAAAAAAAACACAAATTTTATTTAGCCTAGAAGAAAATATTCATTCTACCGAAAGAAAAGAATACAATATGATTGTTGATCATCGCGTCCAGCACGACCACTTTCTTGATAAAAATTTTCAATTGATTTACTTAAAGAGTGATGTATAACAAAACGTACATCAGGTTTATCTATACCCATGCCTGTAAACATAATTAGTAAAATAAATCAGAAACATGTTGTAATTAATTAAACAAACCAAAAGCAATTGTGGCACAAATTACATGAACTTGATTTTTTAACCATTGTTCATGTACTTGTGTTCGAGCTGTAGATGAAAGACCAGCATGGTAACAACCAGCTTTAATATCTATAAAAAAATGATTTACGATTATGTTTGATTGAAGGAACTCAATAAATTTTGATAGCTTACGGGTTCTCTTTTGGGAAGAATAATCTAGAGATTATAAGTGGTAAGCTTTTTTCGCGTCCTATACCCTGATAAATGAAAGAACTCATATGATTGATAATCGCTGTCTGAGCTCATATTTTGCTCATAGGTACGACTTGTAGTGTAGATAAATATACCAAAAGGGTTCATACCATCAGACATTTCTTGTCAACTTATGGCCATTTTATTAAATATTCAGTAGATTCAGAAAAATCGTAACAAACAGTTTTGCCCACAATAAATTAAAATAAAAGTATTGCCTTTCGATTATAATCTGATTTTTAATCGTTAACTTTGATTTTTTTAAAACCTTTATAATCGATTAAAAAGATTTTTCAGTATCAATTAATTAGAATTTATGAATGAAAATTTAATCGATAAGAGTTCTGAAAAAAATCAAGATATACATTTAAAATCAGATAAAATATAACTCAGTTTAATCAAATTTAGTCATTTTTATACTTGAAAAATATTCCTTTATAACGACCTAAACAACATATGAACATTGAATATAGAAAACAATCAAAATTATTCAATAGGTTATCAATCGATTCTATAATCGAGCTCAATTTATATGCCTTCAGAGCATTCTACTCTGTCCTGTAACTAGAGCCACTCAGATATTTTCTGTCAAGCAGGTCCGAAAAATTTCGAACATAACAAGCTGTAGTCATTTTAATCTCTGATATATATAATCAAAAATAGATACATACCATTTCGTTGTAATTCAACGCATACATCTTCAGCATCTTTTTGTGACAAACAATAAACAATACCTTTGTGTTTTTAAATCAAACAATAATAATATTATTTAGATTTTTAATAGTTTCTTATCTATACCTGATTGTTGATCAAACCGTCGTTGAATACAATGTACAAGATCGCTTAAAGCATCTTTTCCAACATTAGGTTTGTGATATACTTCATAGAAAAGATTTTTTCTATTAAATGGTGCTCGAAATAAGATACAATTTGAAATTTGAAGTATTTTTCGAATATCATGAATCACTTTTAATGTTGCTGTAGCTGTTAAACCCAAAATAGGTAAATTTGGAAATTGTCGTTTAAATATTGATAAATATTTATAATCTAAAAATAAAAACAATTAAATATTTGTCTTATTTTGTATTTTCAAAAATTAAATCAATATGATATTTAACTACCTGGTCGAAAATCATGTCCAAATTGTGAAACACAATGAACTTCATCGATAATTAATCTTGAAAATCTTTTAGTTTCATAGAGTTTTTGTAATTTTGACATGATTAGTTTATTTTTAGCAATTTTTTCTGCAAAAAAAAACAAAAATAATCATATTATTCAATTAAATGAATTGTTTTTCTTTCTATATTTAATAACATACCTGGTGTTAAATAAAGAATTTTTAATGTTGAACCAACATTATTTTTTCCATCAAGAATTCGCATTATTTCTGTTTGCTCATCACGTGGTGTTGACGTATTAAGTGCACGAGCATCAATATTTAAATTTCGAAGAGCATAAATTTGATCATCAACTAAAGATATTAATGGTGAAACAACAATTGTTATTCCTAAAAAAAAAAATAAACAAGCTTAGATTAACAAACAATTTCTTTTTAAATATTCTTACCATCAGAAATTACAGCTGGTAATTGAAAACATAATGATTTGCCACCACCTGTTGGCATAATTAATATACAATCATGATTTGAAAGTGTAACATTGATAGTTTCAAGTTGCCATGGTCGAAATGAATTTATTTGAAATATTTCTGTACGCATTTCGTTAACTTTTGAACTCCAAGAAAAATCTAAGAAAAAAAAGTGTTCATAAAATATTTTCTTCTTAATACCTGTTCGTTGCCATTGTTCATTGAAATTATTTATTGTTATGTTTTGATTTCGTTTAATTGCTTCTTTTAATTGTTGTTGTCGTTTAATTAAGTTAGAACGTTGTTGACGAAGTCGATTGATTTGTTGATCGATTTCAGTTATTTCTGATTCAACAGCAATTAATTCATAATTATCATTCGTAAAGGTTGGACTAGAAAAGAAAATAATAAAAAGCTTAATTAAAACGCTGATGCTTTACTTGTTAATTTGTTCTAATTGTTTAATTGGATTAGTAGAATTCTTGTTCTCATTTTCTTCATCAGATATTACAACACAGTCCATTTATATATATAAATATCGCGTGAAGACTTAGTTGATTTGAATCAAATGGAAAATGTACTAGTGAATGAATCACATATGAATACAAAGAAAAGTAACTAGTGTTAGAAAACATCTATAAAGAGGACAAATAGATGAATACAATAAACATGACTTTTACGAAAAAGTATCTTCGACTATCTATTTCATTCAAGTTGTTATTTTTCATTAGTCTTTTGTCCGTTGCTTCTATACGGTACGCACAACTCTTAAAGTGCAGAAAAAAGTTTAAGACATTTTTTAATGCTGTGCTTTGCCTATGCATTTGGTCTTCATACTTTGCGTATTTTTTGCTGTAACAAATTTTATGTTTTGTCTCACGATGATCTAGAGAACGGTGACTCGCTAGAAACTCGTTCAAAATCTCTGTCGAAATAGCAGATTTCGTGACCCACCCGGATGATCATGGTATGACAGATGTCGCTCATTATCACGTCATGTTTCGAAAGATTTGGTGAGTGCGACGGTTCTTCTGCAGTTTAGTCACACCTTTACACTGATTGGTACTCTCAACGCAGCAACCAATGTGAGGGTGAGGGCGGGAGTGTGACTAATCTGCAGTAGTACCAAATTATCTTGATTGCTATAATTCATTTGAGTTTTAGTAGGTTTACAAGATTGTAATGAAGTCATACCAATCAATCCACGTACTATCAATGCTGATGTGCAGAAAGTGTAAGTTATTTTTGCCTTCAGTATTCCTGGTAGCTCTTCGGATGAATATGATGAGTAGGCAAATGAAATTTACATACAGATAGAGTATAGCGTAAGCTTTAAAAATAGAACGATAAATCCTTGGTACTCATATCTCTTGAGCAAATCGCAGCCAAATATCTTTCTTTCGCCGACTGGACTAAATCGTTTAGAGTGGCTGAGTCGATTTTCTTATGTATTTCATGTAGAAAATTCCTGAACTAATCGAGATTTGATAGTTTCCACTTATCGAAACGACGTTCGATGGTCGACCAGGGATTCTTCACTTAGTTAGCTTCGAGCTTACTCGGTTTTCATCCGATAATTTCATGTATTTTCTTACTTAGAGTGATTTCTCACTGCTCAACTAGGTTTGTAGGCTTCATCGCCTTCTGCGGATGTGAATATGAGGTTATCTTGAAAAAATTGAGCCTAGTAAGGTTTATCCATAGTATATTCAGTGTATAATTGTTGACCAGGCTATTATTGTTTCATCATATTCACTGAAGTAGCTTCTCCTTGTCGGCAACAGTGATTCCGAGAGATCAGTCAAAATGGCGTAAAATTGCGTTTATTCTCCATTGCACCGTGTTATTTAATCTGGGCGTATTTCGTTTCACACTATGAACGAAGAGCTTTGTCAAACAGGCATTGTTGGTGAAATATTGATGGTCTATTATTTCAAAAGTGTAAATGAAATCAAACCTGAGTTTTTAGCTAACTAGAATTTCGTCGCCTTGACATCTTCTCTGCAACTATACATTGTTTTTAACGATCCACGGTTTAGACAAGTATAGATTGACTTCCTCTTACTTTCCAGAAAATTTTCAGAACAACCTTTGGAACATTTCTAAAAGTATGCTTTCAGAAAGATAGCTTACACGAAAGGCAAGAATTTTTGCACTCTATTGTATATATACGTCAGTATATGTATTTATGCAATCATATCATACCTTGCACAAAGATACATATCTAACGATGATCATGCCATACATAAAGAGATTATCAAAAGAATATCACACTGTATACAGATAAAGTGATAATAGAATTATTGAGAATGATTTCAATATAAGGATTAAAAAACCCAGACTTTGTCGATTTTAAAAGCAGAAATTACTGAGTTTTAGCCACTTTGTATGTATGGGTACGGTTCATTATGAGTCAATCATTTCATAATAATAATGATGCATGCTAGACATGGATTTATATTCTCTTATTATTTTTACTAGAAAAATTCTTGTTGAATTGAAAAAGATCGATGAAGCTCGACAAGTACTTAAAGGTGCACATGAATTATTTGGTAAGTTATATAATTGAAAACGTACTTATCTTCTTATATATTATTATAGGAGAAGACGAATCATTGGTCGATTTTGACAACACAATTAATGACTCGTTGTTTACACTGGGTACGTAATACTAATAATTCTGACACATAATCTCGAAAGTAAAAGTCTACCCCGGTCGACAAATTAGACAGTAAGATTCATGTAAGATTCTTGCATGATCAGATAAGACATTAGAGTAAGATCGTATCTGATCAGACAAGATCATACGAAAACTCGTACGCAAAATCGTGGTTCATACCATCTTACATCAAGTCCGGCAATAAGTTACGTATAAGGTCAGACAGCATGATCTTATATGATCAAACAATATCATAGAGTAGGATTTGTTTGGATTTATTCACAATTTCGCATCAAGACTAGTTTTGTATTCAGATGTCTTCATTATACTAAAGATATAGAAATATGTCAATCCCTATAACGCACACTATATCTATCGTAATAGATATTCAAAACAATAAATAGACTTCTATACTAAAAGATACAGAAATATTCAGTAATCTCGATTGTTCCGGTCCAAATACATTTTAGAGAACTCTTTCTCAGTTCTTTTCAAAGTTAACATATGCATCCTTGCTTTGAGAAAGCTCAGTTGAATACATTTATATGTGAAGTTAAAAACTGTTTTATTAATCGAAGTATTACCAAATATTAGTTCATTCTACAGAATTGATTTTCTTAATATATATTTGTTCATAATAAGAATAGTTCAATCAAGAATTTTAGAATGAAAAAAGCAACACGTCAGATCAGACACGATCGGAGAAGATCTTCCTTACGTTCTTGTGTATGTTTCTTTGTTTTATGAGTCTTATCTGATCTGATAAGATTTGACACGAGCCATTAAGTCGGTTCTTAGACGTTTCTTAATGTCCGAATCTTACAAGATATTTGCTGGAGACTTTCATTCAGAATCTGATGAAATCTTGTAATAAATTAACTTATACGTGCTTGTTGGATATTATGTTAAGATCATAAAAAAAATCTTGTATGCATAAAATCTGATAAGATCTTGTCTGATCTGCGCCTGACTTTAAGACCGGGGTAGAAGTAGAAAATCAAGAAAAAGAGATGTGTCAAACTACGATTTGGCCTACCAAAAACACCTATCCTAATTTTATTAGCCTGAGAAACAGTCATTTTCAAGAGAGATGTGGTTTTTGTTTGTAGAAAACTTGTACAAGACTAGCAAATGAATACATTTAAAATAGTTCTGTTTATATTGATGGACTAAGAGTTCACTGTAATATTTTTATTTAATCATTAGAAGAAGAACTTTGAGTTACGTATTCAATAAAAAGATCTCGCCGGAACATCCATAGAAACTATAATTTTATAAGACCGACAAAGCTACTATTTGTAACAATATGATCCGATCGGAGCCATGTTTAGTACTTATCTATAAAAGATTTGAGTATCTACAAAATTCTTATATATTCTGATAGAGGAAAACATTCTTCATCAAATGAGTCGGTTTTCCGACAGATATAAATTCGGATTTCATGGATTTATAGGCTAAAAACGGACTTTTAGAGTTTGTGTCAATTGTTTCAGACTTTTGTTGTTATCCGATGAGTTCTAAGAAGTCAGATGTTATTTGAGAGTAATACACAGCTATCTTATTATAAAGGCTTCTAACAGATCGATGATAAAAGTTTTTCGATGCCTGACGAATATCCAGGTGGAAGAAAATAAACTTGTATAAAAGGCTGAAGGTTCGATGCTAATTCTCAGACTATTAAAATTAGGATAAACTTTTTCTGATACGTCAAGCCCGTGATTTGGAAGACATCCTTTACTTGATTTTTGTCAATCAACATGTGTGCCATCATGTATTTGGTTAAAAGCAGAATATGTGGTGAATCAGTTTTTTGTATATGAGCCTATTCAGTATCAGAGAGTGTGTCTTTCGAGATTACTTTTCCCTAGACTTTTGTTATTCAAGATTTTATTACGGGCAGTCAAAAAGTAGTGAAAGTGGTGCTTTAGTTTCTTATAAAAAGCTTAAAGAAAATTTCTCTTTGTATAGTCTGATAGAGAAAAGAATGCTCTATTTTCCTATGCTATTTGATCATACTTCAATTAATTTAATGATAATAAATTTTCGATATGATTTTTTTGTTATCATTTGTGCTCAACCACAACGGATGAGGCAGATTAGTTTTCAATCTCGCAATGCATTGTATTAACAACCAATAATACATCATAAGATGCAGCGTGAGAAGCTCTACAATTTACATAAGACCACTTATGTTATAGTTGCCATTTTTTTGTCAAAATAAACAAACTTTTGTGGGACCAAATTTTGGGCATTGCAAAAATTGGTCGCACAGAATTTTCCTTTTCTTTTTAAACAATTCTGATAAGCTTTACTGCGAAGATTGTAGAGCTTTCACTCTGCATCTTGTAGTGTATTTTGTTCTTGCTTTGATAAAGCATATCAAGTGATGAAAAGATTAGATAACAAAAAGTGAATTCATCTTGTATCAAAAATATTAACATTATCTATTTCCCATGGTCGAAATTTGATCGCCCAAAATGTTGTCCATTTTGAAAACAAAAATGCCGCTGTAAACTAAGTGAGCTAATGTAAATTGTAGAGCTTTTCTCGCTGCATCCTATGATGTATTTTGGTTGTTACTACAATGTATTAAAGGATTGAATACTGCAACACAAAACTTCCTAGAGTGAAAATGATAACCAAAAAAGTCCTATCGAAAATTTATTATCATTAGATTGGTTGAAATATGATCAAATAGCATAGAAAAATAGAGTCTTCTTTTCTCTATCAGACTATACAAAGAGAAAGTTTTTTTAACCTTTTTATAAGAAACTAAAGTACCACTCTCACTACTTTTTGACTGACGGTAGTATATTTCGATGTTTTTGGTTTTTCAGAGCTTTTTCTCGATTTCTCTTCGAGAT